ACCTAGTTGGCTCCATGGCCGAGTGGGGACTCGAACCCGGATTGTCTGAGTCCCAGTCCCATGCTCTTAACCACTACACCACACGGGCTCTATAAACTGGCCTACTGCTTGGCTACTGCACATGCCAAGCCTGGCAGCTGAATGCTAAACATTTGCACTGACTCCATTGAAAAAGAGGATTTGAGAGAACAAGAAAATATAACAAAGATCTGTCTGTGGTGCTGCTCTGGGATGGCCCATGTAAAGTGCAATGCGATGCTGTGCCTGTAGCAGAAGCGCCCAAGCAGGTAAGAGTTGTCAGAATGCAGGCGCTGGGCACAAAAGTCACTCTTTCATCCAGGGCAGCTGAATGGAGTCTTGCCAGGCTACATTATGCACATTTTAACCAGGCACCCAATGCACAATGCAGACTATGGATAAAGAAACCTCTGGGGAAAAAAGAGGCATCTATTTGATCATTGTAAGACAGGGCTGAACACCCACAACAGAGACAAGTCACACTAAAATAAAACTAATCTGGCATATTTTATTTCTATAAAATGTATAAATATTTAAAATTTACAGCAGAGTTAACATTTAGTAACGGTTACAACATTTGAAATGATGTGTTTCTTGATCCACTCTTACAAATGTTATATGTATTTATGTCTCAAGCACTAAATTCAGGAAGCTTTATGGGCAAGCTCTCAGCTACCACTGGTTTCTTCTAACATAAGAAATCAGATGCAGTGCGAAGCCCAAATTTTCATTTTAAAGGGCCACTTCATATATTCTGCCTTTGAGGTATGCACTTTAGATGCCTTAGATATAGCTCTAAAAATGTGTGGATGTGACCAATGTTTGCAAACATGCATTTCTTAGAAAAGCACTCACTGGGAGACTGGGTCAGCTCAGATTTCCTGTAAGTACATACCTCAGTTAAGGATGGCTTTGCTGCCATATAATATATGGGATGGTCTACATGGATATGAAGTACTGATATTGAGAGTGGCCCTGTATGCAAAGAAATGGACTTACCCAGGTTTCCTGAACACCTGCTGCTTAAGGGGCAAATGGTAGCTCTGATCTAACCAAAACTATGAAACTGAGATCTCAGGAGTATACAGAAATGTTTTAAACACTTCTACACTAATAGTTCACATGGCCTAATTAATAACACATTGCTGGCGTTCATTCAACACCTTGAGATCAAACAATAGCTTATATTTAGTAGCAGTTTAGATGTGGTGTAATCTCACCAGATGTGTTCATACAGCAGCAGCACTTTTTATCTATTCCATACATTGAAATACCAGACGAAAAGGAGTGATGGTTACTGGGATACATTTGGAATTCTTAAGCTGTAGCTTTCACAATAGTTGATGACAAGTCTGGTGTCCTCTTGAAACTGCAAACATGTTCACATTTTCAAGTTTATTATGATGCAAAAGGACTTAGACAGTGACATTATAAAATTCTACTTCAAATTTATCCCCTAAACCATTCCAGCCTAATTCACAGCTTTACTCTTAAGCACCTGCACTAGTAATTGCCTCATCTGAGACTGTATTTAGCATCTACAAATGTGATGCAACTAAAATTCATATGATCAGATATGATCTTCATTACTTTCAAGTAAAAAAAATTCTGGACCATGTTGGTAACAGTACAGTTCTCTTTTTGAAAGGCTATTTAACTACTTTGTTATTTGATTAAAATACTGTTCTTGGGTCTCGACAGTCCAGAGATAGCCTTTGAATAGAAAGTTCATTACACACCTATTTCTTGCTCTTCAAGTAATTCATGAAGTTGTCAAGGATGAGGAACTTCTAATACTTTTCAGTGCAAGCCTATGCACGCCTACTAAGAAGTACTACTGAGTTCAGTGGGGATTACTCCTAGGTAATGAGCACAGGATTGCAGCCTCACTTTGTTCCATAGTACTATTCTTACAATCAGAATATCCTTAGCTCAAGCATTCATCTAGCTTTGTGTTTCCTGTTGTTTCATGAGAGCAATCAAGAGTTCTGAGATGTCGTCAGCAATATTTCTGTATTCTGCTCTTTTCCTTCCATGTACAGATATTAATCAGTGCTCAGTGCATTGCTGTGAAATCAGGAACAGTTGGTTTCAATTTACAAGTGGGAGAACAATGACAACATTTTCCAAAAGCAGGTTTTAATTTTGATCCTTATGGATACTGTGTATTTTTGACTTCAAATGTGAGTAATGGATGTCAAGTAACTGGGAAACAGCCAACTTTTAACTGGTCTACAAAACACTGAATGCGGGCAGCAGAATTTTAGGAAAGCAGCAGGATTACAATCCTTTTAACAGTTTTAAAAATATTTTAAAGATAGTATCAACCTTTACCAGAGTCATACAGGAATGTGACAGCAGAACTGTGGCAGAACACTTGATAGTCAACTTGGTAGTAGGATTGGGGTGAGCACGGGACATAAGAGCACTTGACTAGGATGGTATCCTAACTAAAACGAGTAGCAAACAGCATCAAGGTGGCTTTTTACTACTTCCTAGTATCCTTGTATAAATGCCTTGAAACAGTTATGTTCCCTTTAAATTCTCCTTTTAAATTATAAATGCATTTTAGGTTCATTCCATCTAACCCCCCCAGCAGTACAAAACTTTCTTCTCTGTGCACAGTATGTTTACTCAAGTGTAAGTTTTCTGTGTTTAGTGGGATTTGCGGCCACTGCTTTCTTATATATTAAGAATATGTGGCCCTCAGTGTGCTCTCACACACACGTAACTTGAACAGACTTACACACTATAATGGCTTTGAAGCAGTTCAATATCTGGGTTACTCTGAACCTCTAGATGCAATTTGGTTACTACTACTCTAGTTGCAAAACACAACAGGATCTCTATTGCTCCTAAAAGGGTGCAGTAGAATCAGGCAGACCCTACTCCTGAATGGAGCCTAGGATGGTAAGATGCCACTGGGCTCCAAACAGACAACCTGGTACAGTAACACAAAGCTTCCCATTAGACATTACATTAAGTTTGCAAGTCCTCTGAGCACACCTTCTAGGCAACTTTGTCTTGCAAAATCGTGCACATGAGCACACACACCAGATATATGGCCTCCAGAATGCAGACTCCAGCACCTCACCTGCTGTGCCTTCAGTACTCTAATCCATCAGTCTGTCCGCAGACCAGGTAGCGAGTGTGGAGGATGCCATCCATAATGCAACAATGGGTTAAGCCCCTGGCACAGGCTTCATTCTTTTCTGAATCCCAGTTTCATACAACATATTGTCCAGCAGTGTGGTATGATGCAGCAAGACTTGCTGCACTCCAGTACCCCCTGCTTGTGGCGGGGAGGGAAGCCATCACCGGGCAACTCAAGAGGAATCAGGTGAGGCCAATAACACTATGAATAGTCTTATATAAGAACTCGGTTAAGACTCATAGCTTTAGTCTAGGCAACTCCTCAAGATAAAGTGTTGAACAGACCTGTATCTTGCCTTATCGCACATGGCATCTGACCAACACCAGACTCTCCCTGATGACATCTCCTTTCTCACAAGGTTTGTCTGCCTAATCTAGCATCTGAACTCCAGCCATTCTCTGAAGAGGGCTTATGCCTCCAGATCATGGAGTCTTTGCCTGTCTGCCCACCCACCCAGTAAGCAGTCTACCAGCCTATTCTTTTGCCTCTCAACCTCACTGCATCCTGACACTACATTAGCATACTTCATGGCAGCAGCATAGAGCTTTTCTACAGGTGGATGGGACAGAAAAACAGTAATATTCAACCTCCAAACAGGTAGCATTAATGGTGTGGCAGGCCTCCTTCACAGCAAGAGTGTCTAGGCCCAAGGCCTCTGGCTGAGATGTGAAAAGGGCAGGGCTACTCACTCTCTCAACTGCTTTGTGATGGCAACACTGGTGAATCCATACTGTTCAGAAGGGCCCATTCATCTCAGACACTGTGGCATGACAACTGGCTTGATATACAAACCATATGTAAAATCCAGCTACAGGGAGCTTATTCTATACACCTCTATAGCTGATATCGCTCATGATAGACTTGACCTGAGAACCATGCATATTCCAAAGTTTGCTGAAGACTGCTCCCACAAACACAGACAGAACAATATGCCATATAATTGACATTCTTTTTAAATAAAATAGTTTATTATTTATGCTTCTACTAAATTTCTAAAGCAGCTGTGCTGCGGGCCATAATCTTACTAGATATGCTTTTAATTAGTCCCGTATTCAATACTGTCATATGTAAAACTGTTCAACGTGCTAAATTTTGGAGACTTAACAGGTGGAAGCTTTGATGTTTTCAGTGGGTATTAATGAATTGTTACAGATGTTTATAATACCAATAGCAATATTTTAAAAAAGCAAAAAGTATAACCAATATGGAAAGGCGAGTACTTAATGTACCAAAACTTAACTTGAACTCAGATAAAGTGTCCAGTGTAAACCTTTTATAAGAAGAGTTTTTAAGGATTTTACCTCCATATGATTCTGTTTGGTACCTTCTATATTTTCACAAATGGGGGTGGATGAGAATTGGCCAGAGGCAGTACTATGTTTCACAATGGCTTCTTCTTTTCCAAGGGTATTTAAGTTACCTGTGGACAGCATACATTCTAGTTCATCATGTCACCTTTTACTGTGAATTCAATTTTGCATCACATCTGCCAGCATATCCTTCATTCAGTGTTGTTGATTTTACGAAGGGGATCATAAGCAAGTACCCCCTGGTATTATACATGAAAAACATCCATTATATACAGCAAATTTACTGCTCAGAAATCCTTTCAGCTGAGCAATCCAGTGGTTATGTGTAGCAGCAGATTATAACTAATTCTTCTGCTGTTGCCATGAAGGACCAGTACAAGCACATCAACTCAATAAACAAATGTCATAATCATTCACAATGCAAGTGAATTTCATAAGGCATTGAACATTGTCACTTTCAAGCAACATTACATGACAGAACCAACAGCAAGCCCTTCCCCCCACCCCGTCCCCTTGGAGTTGAGCACTGCAGTTTTTCATGAGTTGGATTTCCTCATGAATATCATGTCTTGATAATAATGTATGTTATGGTATATGAAGCACTTATGTGTTCAGCTGAATGAGTAAAAAAGTCTGAGGGGGAAAGTGCAAACATGCTTTCAGCAATAAAAAAGTGGGTTTTTTCCCTCACAGGCGGGCTTTTCGCAGAGCCTCCAAAACCCTTCACTTCACTGCTAGCAAGGGGAGGAGGAGATCCTTTCATTCAGTCTAAATGAGTGAAGTACCAGCGCTCCAGGACCTTAGGCGGCCTGAGGAAAGGCAGCAACCCTCGCTTGGCTTCAGGCACCCAAGGTCATGTTACGCAGAAGCCACTGCTGGGATCGGCTTTCGCTGCAGTCTTTCATGGTAGGGACCATTTTGTCATCCTCAGATGGTTCATCAAGACACTGGTTGCTGTTAACGTGCCTCAGGGTCAGTTGCTGCAAAACAGACAAAACAACCAACAAAACGCTCATGGCTTCAGTTTTGAATTGTTCCGCAATTACATCCAGGGCATTCTTGGCACACGGCGGAGCCACATAAAGGGCTTTTTTAAATGGCAAGCGCTGACTGGCACTCTGCAGATATGTTGGGCTTCCATCAGCTGCACCAGCATTTCCAAAAGCCAGGGATGCCGGGGATGCCATCCAAAATGTCTAGAAAGCATCAGTGGGGGAGGTTGTTTGTCAGCACTCAGCATGCCTATCATCATGTCACTTCTCATCATTTTTAGCTTTCATAATAAAAGATATGTGACAGCAGCGGAACATTAACATCACAACTTTATCGCAGTCAGTTTCATAAATATCTCACACACCATTCTAACATCAATAATTCTTTTGGGTAAAATGAGAGGAGACAACGAGCACTGGCTGGATTTCCCTCTCTGTGGATTTTACGAAGTGCATCCTTCCTGTACAGTGCAATTTGTTGCAATTATACCCTGGCCCAATATGTCCTGGCTTTGCTGCAGACACAAACCAGTGCTTTCGTCTGTTGTCCTCTGCCAATGGCAGCCTTTTCACTGACTGGCAAATGAGTACTTAGCCCTTCTCCCAATCTTCTTTAAAAAAAATCCTCTTGCACACACCAGTCTGCAATAAGCTCCAAACATTTATCGTAGGAAATGCATGCTCTTAAATAATATTTATTATTTATTATATTTGCATCCCACCTTTTTCAAGGAACTAAAGGTGGCTTACACAATTCTCCTCCTCCTTGCAATATTGTCCCCACACAACAACCCTGTGAGGTAGGTTGGATTGAGAGTCTGTGACTGGCCCAAGTGAGTCTGTGACTGGCCCAGTGAGCTCCATGGCTGAGTGGGAGCAGAACCCAGATTGCCTGAGCCCCAGACCCACACACTTAACTACTACACCACACTATTTGGAGGACTTAGTTTTGGATATAACCACTAAAGTGTCTCAGTCAGCCAGCCAGCCAGCCAGCCAGCCAAAATGATTTTAGAGTAAGGCACTATTAAGGCTTAAGGATTTTTAAGCAGGTTACATTGATAGCAATCACTTCCTTTAGCTGCTGCTTAGATGTAGCTCTCAAACAATCTCCTGAGATTAGGAGACTAGGACCTGCTTAGCCTTGAACACAGGGACACTCAGCTGACTGAACAAGAGACTTATCTGTCTGTATGTGCATGCATGCATATGCGTGTTAACAACACTTTTCAAAATACCTGCTGTGCAACAACCATTTGGTCCCCAAGCCAGGCACATCTGAAAGGCAGAAGGTTGCGTGGTGGTGCCCCCCTTGGGGATGAGCAGGAGGACCAAAGCAAGGGAGCAAGAGCACAACCCAACTGTTTCTTGGCTACCTGGTTTGACAGGTGAACCCACCAGAACGTCTTAGAATACCAGATTAAGTACATCATTACATAGATTGATGATCCTCCTTAGTGGATGAGAAACCATCCTAAAAAATCACCTTACAATCTTTACACTCGGGTAATATATTGCAACTTGACACCAGTATTTCAAGTTTAACGTTGATTCTGAGTTCAGTAGTTCTCTAATAAAAGATGAGTATTTGCCTTAGTATTTCAAGACATTCTTTACTTTCACAAATGCCCCCTTTAAAAGGAGCTTTCTTACTGCCCAAATGCATTTTTGAAATTATGTTGTTTCATTAAATGATGCATTTTCTATCTCAAAGCCTCCTTGCTTGCTGCAACATGGGACATGGATGAAGACAGAGGAAGAATTCTTTTGCTTTCTGATCAAATGCATCACAAACTTGGTATTATGCTATCAATAAAATCCAGGTTTTATTTTATTCAGTAAAATATTATTAAAATGTTTTATTTTGCTGTATTTGAATGGGAAAGTGACAACTGTTTGTGGATGGCAGAATTATTTCCTTTGCAAATGTCTCTTCTGATTCTCAACTCTCCCATACATTCTCCAGCAATTTCTTAAAGACCAAGTGTCCTAGTTCTGGAATATCCAAACTCAGTATACCAATTATCGACATAGTCTTCATGATGGAAAATAAGTGGAAGCAATATAATTTATAACACTTGAAAAGCTCCCAACATCCAGATATATCGTAGCAGTTTCGGAACCTGTGCATGGTGTCTTGCAAAGAAAGCTACTCCATCCCTAGGGAGTAAGGTATTTTATTTCAGAATCTGAATTTCTGTGAAGCACCTAAGAACTTTGTCTACTGAGTGGAACAAGTATGGAAGGAAGGAATAATGAACAGATGGATGGACGGGAGGAAGGTTCTTTTGGTACCTGGGGCAGAAAATCCATCAAATACTTTTTGCCCACCTTGGCAGTAAACCAACCAACCAACCAAACAGAATACACTAACAGTGTTCTGTCCTTACAGACAGTAGACAGAAATAGCTGCCCTGCCCTGCCCTGCCTCATGGAAGGGGTAAGTGGTTTATCTAAAGACCTGGGCAATCAAACACAGCTTTTTAATAGGTTTAAATTCAACCTGTTGCTGTTAGAGCACATGCAGTCTGCCAGGACAAGGAAAGCTTGAACTTGAAATTTATAAGGCTGGGTTGGAATAGCATATTACACAATTGTGCACATACGCACATAAACCTACTATGTCATATCACTGGTACTTCCAACACCGTACTGTTTATTCTGATTCTGACTAGCGGCATCTCTCCATAGAGCCTGACAGGTGTCCTTCGACCCAATTACCAGTGACCCTTGGACTTTCTATGCACAAAGCATGTGGACTGGTATTGAGCTAAGGCAATTTCTAAGGCAAGACAGGATGAAATTCCAGAGCACTGTGAAAAATGCTTACTATAACAACCAAAGCTATGGCATCAGTTCCATTTAAGAGAGTGTGTGTTTTTTTTAATTATACAACTCACAAAACCCTCAGCAGCACGGTATATTTTAAACTGTTGCGCTGCCTTTCACTCTAGAAATGACCAGGAATGAGGTTTATAAAGCACAGCTTCTCCTGGCCATTGCTGTGCATTGACACTTTGCATAACAGGCTTGCAATGCTGAAGGTGACAGACTGAATTGTGCCAAAGGAATCGCTGCCGCATCAATGCTAGCAGCAAAATGCTAGCTGCAAAAATGTCTTTACAGGCTATTTGCTTGTTTGTTTGACTTTTTGCTGTTTTAGGACAGGCTTGCATCTATGATCTACCAAGCTCAACGTAGGCTACCAATGCAGGCACTTGGCAACCCACCAAGTGTTTGGTAAACCTGGCTGCGGTCCAGTTAGAGACTTGCAGGAACAGTCTGGGGCTGCTGCTCTCAGGATCAAGTCAGCTTTCCTAGTTGGTGGCCTGATACAGCTTGTTGGAGGGATGTTCCACAGGCCCACTTTACAAGACTTGGGGGCATTCTTGTAATCACAGAATTCTGAATCAGCAGTTTTATAGAATAAAAGGAGCTGTGGTGTTGCCTTAGGGCAGTGATGGTGAAGCTTTTATTGATTGATTGATTGATTGATTGATTTATATCCTGCCTTTTTCCTACAAAGGGCTCAAGGCAGCTTACATCTCCTCCTCCATCTTATCCCCACAACAACCACCCTGTGAGGTAGGTTGGGCTAAGAGTCTGTGACTGGCCCAAAGTCACCCAGTTGGCTCCATGGCTGAGCAGGGACTAGAACCCAGATCGTCTGAGTCCCAGTCCCATGCTCTTAACCACTACACCACACTGGCTCTGCAACCCAAAACCCACTTATTTATCGCAAAGTGCCAACACTACAATAAAACCTGAAAACAAAGGTTTTAGTTTAGAGAAAACAACTCACAGCCAGTCCAAGCAAACATACAAATATCCTTGGCAGTGCACTAACCGGCCATGCAAAAGCTCGGATGAGTTGCGGCTGATGAGTCATGGCTCATGATGTCATCGCCTGGCGCCGCTACTCCTTTCCGAGCATGTGCATGGCCCCTATGTTCGCTGTTATCCGATGTTCAGCTGCTGGGGTGACTTGGCTTGCATGCCGATAGAGAGGGCTCTGTATGCCCACTGTGGCACATGTGCCATAGGTTTGCCATCACTGCTCTAGGTGCTCAGGAAAGTGCAAAAGTGCGTCCCACCACATTTCTGGAGAAACAGTAGCAAATCATGCATTAATTAACCAAGACACTATGAATTATGACCACTACTGCGCTAACTCTACCCTGGGGCACACTCCTAACCCTAATATAGGGCTGAAAAACCATTGGAAATAAGGCAATTTTGAAAAAACCTTCCTTTGGTAGCTTTTTCTGCACAGTTCATCATTTCTGCCCATTCTAAAAACATTCCAACCACCAAAATCACACCAGGACACCTCGTTTTTCTAAACCCTAACCCTACCCTGGGGCACACCCCTAACCCTAATATAGGGGTAAAATACCACTGAAAATAGGGTGATTTTGAAAAAGCCTTCCTTGAGTAGCTTTTTCTGCACAGCTCATCTTTTCTGCCCATTCTAAACACATTCCAACCATCAAAATCAGGCCAGGACACCCAAGTTTTTCTAACCTTAACCCAGTGATGGTGAATGTTTTAGAGACCGAGTGCCCAAACTGCAATTTATCACAAAGTGCCAACACTGCAATAATACCTGAAAACTGAGGTTTTAGTTTAGAAAAAACAATTCACAGCCAGTCCAAGCAAATATCTATCTATCTATCTATCCTTGGCAGCACACTGATCAGTCATGCAAAAGCTTGGATAAGTCACAGCTAATGAGTCACGGCTCATGATGTCATTGCCTGGCGCCGCTACTCCTTTCTGAGCATGCGCTTGGCCCCTATGTGTTCTGGTAACCGATGCTCGGCTGCCAGAGAGACACTGGGGCGACTTGGCTCAGGTGCCGACAGAGAGGGCTCTGCCTGACCGCTGTGGCACGCGTGCCATGGGTTCACCACCACTGCCTTAGGGGCTATTTCATGGCTGCAGTGCTGGGACAGGCCATTTCTATTTTAAGAATTTCTCCAATCAAA